ACCAGGCTTGGGATATTGTGAGCCGTGAGGAAGCAGACAGAATAGTACAATGCAAGTGGGTATTCAGAAAAAAGCTAGAAGGTAATAATAGTGTAAGGTATAGAGCTAGACTAGTAGCCAAAGGTTATACTCAGCAGCATGGACTAGATTTTAATGAGACTTATTCTCCAGTTCTCAGATACTCTACACTTAGACTTCTGTTTGCATTAAGTGTAAAATTAAACTTTAAAATTACTCACCTTGATGTTGTTACAGCTTTTTTAAATGGTTTTCTCACTGAAATTGTGTATATGCAAGCTCCTCCTAATCTTAATTGTCCTAACAATTGTGTACTTAAGCTTAAAAGAGCTGTTTATGGACTGAAACAGTCTGCTAGGGCATGGAATTCTAGAATTAATGATTTTTTAATAGAATTAAATTATATAAAGTCAATTTCAGAACCATGTTTGTATAGTAAGAAGTGTAACAATGAACAGATTATCATAGCAATATTTGTGGATGATTTTTTTATTTTCTCAAATAGTAAGGCTATGACTGATAACTTGAAGGAAAAACTTATGTTAAAATTTAAAATTAAAGACTTAGGTCAGATTAAACGATGTTTAGGAATGCGCGTTAAGATATATGATAACAATTGTATTTCCATTGATCAGGAACAATTTGTAAAACAAATTCTTAAGAAATTTCATATGAATGATTGTAATCCAAAAGATACTCCTATGGAATGTAATTTAAAGTTAGATAAGGCAGAATGTGTTGACAAGCAGTTTCCCTATCAACAACTTATAGGGAACCTCATGTATTTGTCAGTATTAACACGTCCAGACATATCATATAGTGTGAGTTATTTAAGCCAATTTAATAATTGCTTTAATTCAATTCATTGGCATCATGCCAAAAGAATCTTAAAATACTTACAGAAAACTAAATCTTATGGTTTAAAATTCACTAAAGATACTTGTAACTTAGAAGGTTTTGTAGATGCTGATTGGGCTGCAAGTACTATTGATAGAAAGTCATACACAGGATTTTGTTTCAAATTGTCAGGTTGTGTAGTGTCCTATGAATGCAGGAAGCAACAAACAGTTGCATTATCAAGTACAGAAGCCGAATATATGGCTGTAGCAGAAGCGTGTAAAGAGGCAATATATTTAAAAAGTATTTTGTCAGATATTGTTGGTTGTAACTATACTGTAATAATTTACAATGATAACCAAGGAGCCCAGAAGTTGACAGAAAATCCTTTATATCACAAACGTACCAAGCATATAGATGTAAGATACCATTTCATAAGAGAAGCAGTTTCTAATAAGATTGTAAAAATAGTTTATCTGTCAACATCTGAGATGCCAGCGGATATACTAACAAAAAGTTTAAGTGGTGCAAAACATAATTATTTTGTAAAATTAATGGGACTTGAAAAAGTCTAAAATGTTAGTTATATTGTTATGTTACTGTTATTTATGTAAAAGTTATTAGACTAAAATGGTTATTAGATTATTTTGATAAGTGGTGCTGTTAAAATATGCATTTCAGTTGTATCAAAATAATATTACTATCATCATACTAGCTCCCTCTAGTGTCAAATGTGTGTACTAGTTTACATAGATAATAGAAGTAATAAATAAATTGTCTATTTCTCAACCTGCAATTTATTCGTTTTATTAGTATCTAAATCTTACAACATTAAGTAATATGAACCCCAGCGTAAGACCAGCAACAAAGAATAGTGTAAATCAACATAATTAGCTTGTAAGTAGCCACTGCTGACTGGCCTCTTCTCGCACGGAGAAGGTCTGAGCATTAATCACCACGCTTGCTCAATGCGAGTTGGCGATTTAAAACTTATAATTAGAAATTAAAATCCAACGTGTTCTCACGATGTTTCCCTTCACCGTTTGTCAGTGGTATCTAAATAATCTTAGAAAGTACATATAACTTGGAAAAGTCACATTGGTACTTGGTAGTTTTTGGTACTTTGGTATTTGGTACTTTTGAGCCTGACCCTCCATGCATGAAAAAAGAGCGTCTTAAACCTCTGGGCCACACGACATAGTGTAAATAATATTGTAACTTTTTGTTCGGATGGCGATGTCGAGCACCGGCAATCTCTCGACGGCAGCAGACGATTACTGTGGCATATCACGGTGATCCCCGCGATATAATAACCAGAACAACTTTTAGTACATCTGGAAATCCTCGAATTACCCAAACTCCATTGATGAGGAGTAGCATTTTAATAACAATTACGTCCCGATCTGGTGTGGGAATTGATTCACTAGTTCAGATATTTACATGAACTTAATTCTCCATGTTTAGGCATCGTCACACGAATTACGTATAAGCGCCGCGTCCGCCGCCGACTGTGAGTATGCTCACTATCGACCACGTAATAAGCGTATAGTCAGTTCGGCGTGAACGAGATGTCAAATATGTGGAAAAACTATAAACAGCGTAACACGCACTCACTGTCAGCGGCCGACAATACGCTTAGTATGAACGATGCCTTATACTGCACTGATACCTACAAACTTTGTTAATAAAATCAACAGCAAATAAATTATATTAATAAAAATTCTGCCTTTGATTTATTCTGCATTTTATTTATTTTATTTAAGTCTAGAAAACTCCTAACTACCTAAACAAAATTATCTAATTGGGGCCGATTTTGAAATCTATATATACCTCTACTACAGTATTATAAATGCAAAATGTGTTTGTCTGTTTATTTGTCCGTCTCTTACGGGAAAACGAAGAGACGAACTGACGTGATTTATTTAATCTTTATCTAGCCCTTTATCTATATATTCTCTACTAATATAATAACTATGTCACTACATAAGCTACTTTTCGGCTCTTTTTAACCCCCACTTCCTTAAAACATCAAGTATTATTAAGCAAGCATTAATATTATTCCTTAATTTTCATGCTACAAATTGGTATACGGATTATTTGTGACTAACAAAGAATAGTGCATATTTTTTTTTAAATCTGCACCCAACCCTTTATAAAAGCGTATAAGAAACTAGTAATGTATGAAATTGCACCCACTTGAAAATTTTTACTAAAATAATAAATGTTTCCTATCTGGGGGCACGGCAGTGCACACGCCAAGTCGAGCGCGAAGCAAACACTGCCGTACCATCCTTTACTGGGACCATTTTCGTCTAAGACAAGGACGTAGTTTTCGTCATCATCCAGTAAGCTTTAATCACATACTTAAAATACAAGTCTGTAGGTCATTTAGTTCCAAAGTTATGCTAAACAAAGTTTTGCATTTGCATCGACCTTCACTCGCTAACTCATGATCATCAAAATAGAACTGGTACTTTCCATAAACTAAGAGAGCTGAAATTGGTAAAGCTGAAGTTTAATGACCATATAAAGGGAAAACTAAAAACTAGGATAATCGAAGATCTGGAGTACCTGGTGACCCTGGTTAGAAGCCACAAGACCAAGCCCAACCAAACTATTAGAGATTGTAATGTACTTTGCCTTTACAAAAAATATTCAACTTGGGTGTTACAACAGTGGCATTTAGGTGCCGTAATGTGCACCTCTGCCTACCCTCCTGAGGATAATAGGCGTGATATTATGTTATGTTATTCAACTTGGTGGGCCGCTTCGTTTGATGTCTAAAATCGTGTGTGTTGTATGACTTGGCCGTTGAAGGGTACACAAGGGTGCAAAACCACCTGGTTTGGTGGTTAGGTGCAATACACCATTGCACCAATCTGTCGCCAGAATCGCGCTTTATTCAATTCACTTTTCCTAGTGGCAACTTTCCATCTTCTGTGGGTAGTGCTTCAACGGCCAAGTCACTCAAGATTAAACTATAATAATAAAGAAATCACAGTAGGGAACCTTAGACTTGGCACGACTTTGTCTACATTTTTACAGAATGTTTTTGGTTGGATTAATTATACCCACAGATAATTACAGATAATGAGAAGTCTTAGTGCAAAACAAAATTGCTTCATATCTGTCATCGATAAACTGATGCGTTATTATCTAATCTTTCAAATATAAGCGATGTTAATTTCTCTCTGTACATGGTCAAGTAATGGTTGTGTTTGAGTGAGCACAGGGTCCAAATATTGAACTAGTGGGAGAATAAATAAAATATTTATAAATTAAAAAGTATCACTGTACGTGAACATAGACATATTTTGTTTTTACGTCACTTTTATTATAACACGGTAAGTACCGATTATTTTCTAAAATTTTATCATGACTGGTCACAATTTTTTCACTGCGTTATCAGAATATCAAAGCATTGACGTCTTTGAATTTATTTATTTATTAAACCGTGCGATGATATCCAGTGACCTAAATCTTTTAAATAAAAAATATATTTTCCACCAAAATACACTAGAATATAGACCTTCATACGATTCTAATAATATTGACATTTCTTGTAGCAAAATTTGGATAATAATCTGGTGTACGATTTTTAGTAATTCAACAGAGAATTTACTTCTTTTGTTTTATGTTTTGTTAATTTTTGTAACTATACGTTGCGAACAGGATCAATACCAATGGCCAATATCATTTTGCTGATTATAAGCGCCAATTTTCGATTGTGAAATCAATCACAATGCCGAATCATATGAATTATCTTTGTTGCTAAACATATTTATTGTCATCATTACTGTCTTTATTATACTCTTTATTTGTTTTAATACTTTTTTTATACATATATATGTATATATATAAATGAATCCCTTTTTCAATTAGTTACGGCATCACGCGTGAATAGGTGGATCGATTTCACTAATTCTTATTAGGTTGTATTGGTTATTATTAGGAGAAGGTTCTTAAGACTGATAAAATCCTGAAAATCTTACGGGAACGGGGGAAACGGGATGGGGCGTACGAAGTCGCGGGCAGAAGCCAGTGTCCCAGGCCCTAGACCCAACTACCTTACGTTAGCCTACTCATTTAGGTACTATCTTTCTCACGGTCTTAATTATTAACACTGTTTCTTGTGGTTGTTACAGATGAGGAGCTTCATCGTCATCGCAGTACTGTCAGCACTCGCAACCTGCTATGGTGCTTCTGTCGTCCCGAGCGAGGACGAGTACATCACCACAATATACGACGAAAAGTCACCCAATGGAACGATAGTGTCTAATGGAGACATTGAATTTAGAAACGAGAGATCTAGTATATTCGCTCAGTAAGTATCCGAAAAATATGTACACACAAAATGAGTCACACACCAAGAACAATCTTACTAATAATAAAAACCATTTAATAAATGCGTATGAGTTTGTGGATATATTTGTTACTCAATAAAGTCAAAAGGGCTGACGGGATCCGGATGAAATATGAAACGGCACCCCCATCTATAGCCTTTTTTTTGAGGGGGAAAAATCATCCAATGACTTCTCCGGCCCGGGTGAGGTGAGAGGGAGTGTCAGACTCTTACTGACTAAAAACCACCCCATTCCTACGCGTGCACTTCGAGCCGGAACCTCGGCAACCCGTTAAGTTTACCGCGGCTCCGTAGCCCCCGTCTATAGTCTGTAATAACACATATGCTACTTTTTATCCCACAAGAAGGCGAGCGAAACCGCTGGCAGAAACTAGTTTAATATTACATTAATATTGCGATATTATTTTTAGGTGGGATAGCGTAATACCGTCGAGCATGGACCGACACACCATTACCTTTATGTACGTAGGCGATCCCAGAGACATCATTTCAAGACTAGAAACCGCTATTTCTGGAGAACCTGAGATAGTATACCGATCTCCTATGAATACTAACATTTTTCAAATGATCCTTATGACACGTGCTGGGCGAAGAACGAGTGCAAGAATACAAATATCGCGCTAAATAATGTATATTAAATAAAATATAATTTGTACAAAAATTATCGTGAGATTTCATTTTAAATAAGAAAGCTCTACATACATATTTCAAGTCACAGAGGCACGACATTATTAGAGCTTTTCTCAAAATTTACATTAATCAGAACTAATGTTAAATCCGATTAATCAGAACTAATGTCGAATTGATTTGTTGTCCACTGCATAAAATATAATGATTGTATTCCGAAAATAAGATTTAAGTGTAAATAAATTATATTAGTACAATTATTTGTTGTTTTATTTTTTGTGAATGACGTTTTGTAACTCTTACTGGATGCTACCATATCTGCAACTCTGCATGGAATCAGTCTAGAGGATAGTGTGTGGCTGTATTTGCCAAAATTTTGTTTTAAATGCAATCAATTATTATATATATCGGAGATACGCTACCAGTAGGTCGCGACATTGTCGAATCACACCAAATTACTGATAATCGTGAGAACGCAGGAAGATTAGCGGGGAGTAACGCTTCTAGCTGCCGCCACCGCCGCGATCCTTTCCCAAAAGTCTTTCCCGCGCTCAGGGACGTCTGTCAACGTCATTTGCTGTCAAATGTCAAAGTCTGATTAAATTTCCGGATCGATATTTCCATCGGTGTTGCCATTACTCCGCGCTAACCATTAAGTAATTACTTGACGTTCTCAAACAATAGTTGCCACATCTAAATCGATTGATATGCGTTGACGCTTCGACGTATTTGATGGGCCGACGTTTGACCATTATCTCACCTGGTGGTAAGCAATGATGTTGTCTACGATGGAGCTAAGTTTGTATGAAATTATCATGAACAAGATTAAACTTCAATTTGTGAAAACGTCCTTCTGATTGCCTGATTTTTTGCATTTAAAAAACTCTTTTACTTGTAGAGCAATTTGGATCCGTAGTTCCAGTTTCCCACACAAACATCTCTGATATTTACTTCTCATGTGCCTCGTATCTTGTCTTCATCACTAATCTTATCGTTTATCTACCATATATAAGGAATATCGAATCTCTAAGATGAAGTACAACTGGTGATAAAGTTTGAGAAAGGACAGGCTTTGATATTTGAATTAATATTGAAGTAACAGTGTTCGTGGACTTATCAACATTTTGTTTTTCAATCATCTCTAATAAGTAATATACCACAGTAAGTACCTATATATTTTCTGTCGATTCAGTAAAGGTACTGTTACGCATGCTAATTTTAAGCACGAATAAATGCTTTAATTGAGCACTTGCCAGATAGTAGCAGGTGTGTCGAAATATTACTCAAAATTAGTATGCTCTTCTTCTTTACTTCAGCAGCTGTAGCCAAATGCCATTTAGCGCTTGTCTACATGTAGAATAGAAAATTAAATTATATGGAATTGACGTAAATTTTGACACTTGTCAGTGTCATCCCCATACATTTAGTTTTCTACTCTCTCTGTAGACATGCGCTAAAGTGGCGTTTGGCTAAAGGCCCAGGCATGCTTGCGAAACGACAAGCGTTCCATTTTTGAACATTTTTGAGCATGCTAAATCGAACGCCCTTTAGTACCTTAATGATTAAGAATTCATCTCCTTTCATTACTAACTTGATAGACTGAGATGCAGTCACAAATTACTGTAACATTTCAACATTTCAACTATTGTTCTAAACACAGTCATTATATTTACACTTAGCACAACGCTGGTGAATGTCTATCTGTTCGTAGAAGTGGAACTAAAACATTTTAAGATCTTTTTTGTAAATTACTACTGTCCTTTTCCTTTGGTCCTTTTACTCTAAGTCCTAATGAGTTTAACACGTGAATGTTGCAGATGAGGAGCTTCATTATCATCACAGTGCTAGCACTTGCAGCCTGCTGTAATGCTTCTGCTCTCTCGAGACAAGAAGATCTATCCGAGGTTTACGTCACTACTACAGAGTATGAAAATGGAACGATTGTAGATGGTGCAGACTTTGCATTATCAAACGTGGCATCTTTATTATCTGAGTAAGAATCTTATAAGGCTTATGACTGGAGACTTTTGTGTCACACTATAAATATCAGTTGATTAGCAAGCCGAAGTGGCAATGGACAGGGCAGGTATTGTGTAGCTCAGAGAACCGTTGGCCGATGGGGTTGGAAGGTTTTCAAATGCAGGCTATGTACCGGCAAGCGAAGAGTAGGATGGACATCGTTTACCAGGTGTCTGTCTTCCATGTGGGTATCCACATAACTCTACGACTGGTAAAGAAAGAAAGAAAAATGTATTTGTCAGAATGTAGTTACAATAGGTGTTTTATATTAATTAATGTGTCATACATTCTACCGAATCGGTCGCAATAAGCCGGTGGATGTAGGTCGTTTCCAGCCGTCCAATCTGGAAGTCACCGGAGGAGGCATATATTAAGCAGTGAATATCTAGAAGATAATTGTAATGATGATGATGATGATGATGATGATGATAATGATGATGATGATGATGATGATGATGATGATGATTATGATGATGATGATGATGGTCGTGTTATTAATATTGCGATATTATTTTTAGGTGGCATTGTGAAGCCCCGTCTGTTGTTGGCCAGTCGCAGACGATTACCTTAAAGTATTTAGGTGATTCTAGTGAAAGAATAACAAGACGAGTTACAACTATTTACGGACAACCTCAAGTAACTCAGACTCCATTGGGAAGTAATGTCTATGAAATGACGCTTACTTCTCGACTTGGTGAAAGGATATCTGCGAGTTTTTATATATACGCGTAAGGCGGGTCTTAGAGTTTGTTCGCAAACTTTACTGTACCCGAATTCCAATTCTCCATGGATACTGTTATCCGAAAACAACATTAAATTATACAAATAAATGTTATTAAGTAAGGAATTCTGTGTTTTATTTTATTTATACACCCGAAATGCTAAAATACTTAGAAATGCCTTATCGACCTTTTAGGGTAAGGGACCCCAGTAGGGTTGATGCTGATACGGAGCCGCGCAGGACTGAACGGGCTCCGGCTCGAAGAGCAGAACGAGGAACAGGGTGGTTTTAAGTCAGTAAGAGTCTGACACTCCCTTTCAACATCAAAAAAAAAAACAAAAAAAAATCCCCCCCCCCCAAATCCAAAAAAAATCCTTAATTCCAAAAGGGTTAGGAGTTTCAGGATTAGGGATTCGGGGATTAAGGACCTTACTCACACAACGCTCTGGTTGTTTCACACCGGTTTTCTGTGAGGCTTTGGTATCACTATAGTCATGCCAAAAGTAGGGCTTATTCGATTTCCGACTTTATATCAAAACTTTAAGGTTGAAAATGGAATAAAAAAAGACAGAAAGGAATACATTGCCTTGCTGACGACTGTGCAGTGTACAGTGTAGGTATATAGGCTTTCAATAAGTTTTTGTGACAGTCAATCTTCAGTACTTCAGTAGTGACCGGCTGGTGGTTCATATGATGATAATAAATAGATAATTATAATTTAGTAAATCCATTAGATATAATAAAATAGATAAATAAAAATGGAAAAACAAAAGGTAGTCGTGTTTCGAATTGTCGCTTGACCATGAGGCGTTGACGTCATAACACCGCTGCGCAAATACTCAGTGATAGGTCTCTTATCATTGATTAGAGGCCAGCTGTAATTTTTTGATACATATTCTTATATGTGATAAAAAACAGATAAGCATGCACTAAGAAATTGATGAATGTAAATCTTTGACTGCACGGTTGGTGCGGTGGCTGGGCAACCGGCTGCCGTGCAACGCGCGCGATACCCGCATGGAACAACACTTTGTGTGATCCACAAATTGTTGTTTGTGGTCTGGGTGTCATTGTGTATGTGAACTTGTATGTTTGTAAACGCACCCACGACACAGGAGAAAATCGTAATGTGGGGCAACGTTTTAAAAAAAATTTAAAAAAATTGCAGTGAAAAAGGTAGGTAGGTACACTAAAATCAATCACTTTTCAGGAAATACAGGGTTGTGACCTACTCGAAAGAAACTGCATTTGCATGCATCATACTGATGAGAAAACTAACCTACATTAATAAATCGACTGCAATCTGAAATCTTAATAAAATTTTGATTCTATATAGATTTTGTCAAAATCTTGAATCCGTCCAGAGATTTTGAACAGAGATTGGACAACACGTAACATAACAACAAAACATCATGCGTTTTACCACCGAAGAGGCAGAAATACACATTACGGCACTTAATGTATTTTGAAATATGTAAATATAATCTTCTATTTTCTCAATTAAATCGTTGCTTGCTTCTTGCTCCTACCATTCACTCTTATCTGCATCACCCAAAGGTCACACTCGGAGAAAATGCCTGCGGCATTAAGTCCACCTTGTGTACACTTTGTGCATGAAGCGTTAATAAATAAATAATAAATAAATAAATAATGTAATACCCACTTTTCACTATTAATGTTATTAGTCCCATGTAATAGGGGGTGTATTGCCATATACCGGACAGACTCCGTGCTACTGCTAAGGAATAACTTGATTGCATTTTTATTATAACTCTCGTGAGACATAATGAATTAATTATTGTTTTTCTGCTTATTCGCGTAATTATTTGGTGATGAACTCGACTACTTTCAAACCATGCTAGAGGCTCATATTCATGAACAGCATGCGACTACTTGCATTGCTACTCTATAACATTATCTTTTGTCTTTTTAATGTTGGCTGGCAGTATATAAGACAGATAAGGGGTATCTAAGTAACTGCACTTTGTTATCACATTGCACCTACCACATAGCGGGCATTGACCGACCTTATTGGTATTAAATGTATGACTTCCTTTTCAGTCCACTAGTAATACCTACTACAATAGCCACAGAACAATTCCACTTATCTTTTTTTATGGGATAAGCCGGCAAACGACGGATGACCTACTAGTAAGCAATCGGCGTCACCCATGGACACCTCTGGAACACCAGAGGTGTTACAAGTGTGTTATCGGCCTTTTAGGGATTATACATTTGAGGATTGTTGGGGATTCAGGGATTGGGGAGATTGAGGAGGGACGGGGGAGGATAATTGGGCCTCTGGTACACTCACACGACGAAACACAACACAAGCGTTGTTTCACGTCGGTTTTCTATGAGGCCGTGGTATCGGTCCGATCGAGCAGGCCCATTCGTACCGAAACATTATTTTTTATCTAGTTGCCATACGGTGCAATTTGTCTTTTATGACCAAAGACAAATAATTATTTTATGCGTTATCATCATTAATAGCAAATAGTGTAATCGGAATGAAACACTACAGGAAAATTCCTAAAATAGTGAATCATAAGATTGTCAATATATAGGATATCACTGATAGGTATCGTACAGTATTAAGTGGCGTAATATACATTTCTGCCTATCCATTCGGGGATAAAAGGCGTGATGTTATGTTGCAATAAAAGACTACTTACTCAACCACATGCTTTTTGGCGAATTACTTTATCTAAAAATCGTGAAATTATCGCATAGAGTGCTTCCATTACATAAAACTAAGTAACAAAAAGGTTAAGGGCCTGTTTCACAATATCTGGATAGCCATTATCTACCAGATAAATTTGAATTAAGAACGTAATATGTATGAACTATCTGTCACATAAGTTTATCAGGTACTTATATAGAGGTGGTGAAACCGATGCTTAGTGTGGTCTGCAGATGATATCTAATTTATAAAATTCTTGTGTCACAGTTTTCGTTGCCATACTCCTCCGAAACGGCTTGACCGATTTTGATGAAATTTTTTGTGCTTATCCGGTATCTATAAGTATCGGCCAACATCTGTTTTTCATCCCCCTAAATGTTAGGGGTAGTCCAAATATAAATTTTTATTTTTTATTTTTTAGACAAGATTTTAATTCCTATTTTTTTATGATACCATACAAAAATACATACAATCCTCAATTTTCACCCTTTCTACGAAATAATTTATATGGCAAAACAACCTTTGTCGGGTCAGCTAGTTTTTTCTAAAATCTCTCCAATCAAGTATCAGGCATTATGATCTCCTCATCAACAGCCTATAAATGCCCACTGCTGAGCAAAGCCTCTTCTCGCACGGAGAAGGTTAGAGCATTAATCACCTCGCTTGCTCAATGCGGGTTGGCGATTTCAAACTTATAATTAGAAATTGTAAGTCCAGGTTTCCTCACGATGTTTTTCCTTCACCGTTTGTCAGTGGTGTCTAAATAATCTTAGAAAGTACATATAACTCGGAAAAAGTCACATTGGTACTTGCCGTTGGTAGGTTTCGAACCCGCACCCTCATGCATGAGAAGCGGGCGTCTTAAACCTCCGGGCCACCACGACTCTTCTTATTATGATCTCCTAAAAGCTTATAATTAAGTATCATGAGACATACTAAATTAATCATCATGTATTTTAGCTTACTCATGTAATGGTCTTACGAGGAGTTTGATTCATTAAGCCACGCCAGAGTCACATATTCATGAGCGTCATTGCGTGACATACGATGGCGTACGTGAAGAGCTGCCTGTATTGACGTTGTCCCTGAACACAAGCACAAACCACATTCTTGTCGACATCGTCAGCGTAGAAACAATATTTCCCAATGAACAACTATTTCTTCTACCATTACTTTTCAAGTGTTTGCTAGAAAAAAATGAAAATATAACAGTCGAAGTGGCAAAGATTTATATAATAAAATGAATTAGTAGCAAACTGTCGATTGTATGTACGTAAATCCGTATATAACTGCACGGTTGGTGCGGTGGCTGGGCAAGTGGCTACCGTGCAGCGTGCTGCGGGTTCGATTCCCGCACGGAACAACATTTAGTTTGATTCACAGATTGTTGTTTCTGGTCTGGGGTGTCATGTGTATGTGAATTTGTATGTTTGTAAACGTACCCACAACACAGGAGAAAATAAAAAAAGGCCACGTTTTTTTTAAGAAAAATACTAATTCGCCATTTTTTACGACCGTGCGCACACAGTTACTCCATTCGGCTAGTGAGAGCGGCTTGAACACTGAACTACCAACCACACGCGCAGACAAGTTGGTAAAGGTATGCGCATGCTATAATTTCAAGCAAGTTTAAAAACCTTCAAGCCAAGCTTTGGGGTTTGCGCGTGCTACTGTATTACCAACTACACACAGTGTTCAGTGTACAAGTGCCGATTTGTACAAGTAAAACTGTGGTCAAACATGCACGTGTGGTACTCGCATTAAATCGCTTTTGTTTAACATCTAGAATGTGCATAAAAAGCCTCAAGTAAATCTGTCATAACCATCTAATAAACCAGTGTCAAACTAAAGTCGCGATCAAACACGACGTTTGTATTTATCTTCATACTAGCTTCTGCCCGCGACTTCGTACGCGCAATCCCGTTTTTTTTCCTGTCATAAGAATCTTCTCCTAACAATAATAAACACAACAAAACAAAAATCAGCCAAATCGGTCTAGCCGTTTTCAAATTAGGGCGTGACAACTGGAAACGGGTTCCATTTTTATATATTAGACTAGCTGACCCGGCGAACTTCGTACCGCGTAATACTCTACCCTACTCTACCCTAATCTACCCTACTCTACCCTAATCTACCCTACTCTACCCTAATCTACCCTACTCTACCCCACTCTACCCTAATCTACCCTACTCTACCCTACTCTTCCCTACTCTACCCTACTCTACCCTAATCTACCCTAATCTACCCTAATCTACCCTAATCTACCCTAATCTACCCTACTCTACCCTACTCTACCCTACTCTACCCTACTCTACCCTAATCTACCCTACTCTACCCTAATCTACCCTACTCTACCCTATTCTACTGTACCCAAATGAAAAATAGACTATCCTATCTCTCAAGTTGGATTGAACTGCACATGCTGTGCGAATTGTATTATAATCGGTTAAGTGGTTTAGGAGTCCATTGAGGACAAACATTGTGACACGAGATTTATATACGAGATGTATATTATTAAGATAGACTAACAATACAGACTGTATTGTAAAACAAAAATTATGTTCATAATAAAATGCCAAGTTACAAAGTTAATATCATTTATTTCCACGCTTTAGTTTTATAAAATAAAAATAAATTAAGTATTAATTATTTATTTATTAAGCTTCAGGCACTCGATGTACAAGGTGGAGTTAACACCGCAGGCATTTTCTCCCAGTCTGACCTTTATTAGTTACTTCCAGGTACAGTCTATACAATACTATTTTAAAACAATTACGCCAATTGACTATAGCCGAAGTACATTAGAACCAGCACGAGTAAGTGAAAAGCTGGTTCGCCGAATGCTCTCCCTGCTCCGCTGCGCTGGTACATAAGAACAGTTGACGAGATCGGTTGACTGACATTTGATGTAAATCTTACTTCCATGTTGTTCGTCCCTAATGTACTGTGGTATACAGCTGCAGGTTGGACATGATTAGTTATGACTAATCTGTCTACCCTTACGTTATTTGGGCCTTGGTACGTTACGAAGGAATTCTTCACTCTGCCGATTGATGCTGACGCGGTAGCCACCACTCTGTAAAAAAACTTTAGTTATTTCTACAGCATCATTATAATTTGTTCCGAGAAATTGCTAAACATTCAATAGTCGTTTAATCTAGGAATCTAACCTATCTATACTTTATTTAATGAATAAAAATATCATTTATATTCTAATCTATGCTCGCGATAAGTTGAACGAGGAATTATGAAATTAAGCAATATACGAACTAACTACCACGTAGGCCAAGGTTCATCCTCTTCTAGAACTAGGCTTATAGGACATTACACTAATATTATAAACTAGCTTTTACCCGCGGCTTCCCTCGCGTCACAAAAGGATAAAAAGTAGCCTATGTGACCTAAACCGCCCTACATACATACATACAGCGCCATCTATACCAATACTTTTGTTTTCCCTCGGGAATATCAATTTTTTTCAGGATAAAAAGTACCCTATTATTTAATCTAGACTACTAACTTTACGTCTGCAAAATTCAATGCAATCGGTTTAGTAGTTACGGCGTGAAATCGGAACAAACAAACAAACAAACAAACTCACTTTCCGATTTATAATAATACTAGCTTTTACCCGCGGCTTCGCTCGCGTCACAAAAGGATAAAAGTAGCCTATATGACTTATACCAATACATACAGCGCCATCTATACCAATACTTTTGTTTTCCCTCGGGAATATCAAATTTTTTCGGGATAAAAAGTACCCTATTATTTAATCTAGACTACTAACTTTACGTCTGCAAAATTCAATGCAATCGGTTTAGTAGTTACGGCGTGAAATCGAAACAAATAAACAAACAAACAAACTCACTTTTCGATTTATAATAATATAGTAAGGATGTCAAAGTTTCTTTATTTGGATGTTTGTCCAAACTGCGGGAGGGATTTTGATGAAATGTATATCGATATAGATATAGATACGCGAGCAAAGCCACGGCTAAAAGCTAGTATTTATATTTCTTATGGCATTCATATATTAAAAGATACTCACTCGTATATCACTTTAAAATTTTGGTTTCTTGCATTAATTTCTGTGTTGGACATTACATTCCCGTCGGTAGTATCATCATAGACTACGCTGTAGCCCCCGGGCAACTCTCCAGAAGCTTCATAACAGGCTATGAGAGCTGACAGCACGGTGATGAGGATGAGACTCTTCATCTGCAAAAACCATTAGATGTAATCACCTATGTCAAATTTATAGGGGCATCGGGTAATGAAAGCTTATTTCTAATATCAACCTTATCATTGTGCGATAAAATCAATAATTGGGTGTGACGTGTACGTTCGTTGACACCGAAAATATGAAACTAGGAAATATCATCAATTATTTCGAAATTCCTTTCATAAAATACTTATCAAATTTTCATATACTTTTTACAAATCAATTAAAAAAGTTAACATTTAAGTTAACAAAAAAGGTGAATGCTAAACGCTACATTGATACAGAAGCGAAACGTAAGTATTAAAAAAAATCCATTAACTCACTCTGATATATTTTTGTGTTTCCAAAAAATTGAAGTCAGTCCACACTCCAATCAAATTACTGAAAAATACTGGACATAATGGATCGATCACTACTTATATATCTATTACAGTCGAAATGATAAGATTACACTATTGGTGGTTTTAATCTATAGCAGAATAGATACGAAACATATTTTTTTTTGTAACTATCAGAAAGACTATAATTATAAAAATGAGGAAAACAACGCAAGACAGCTTGACTAGCTTATTTTTCCTTAAACGTGGACAAAGTACTAAAGTCAAACAAACAAGATTTGATAGAATCATCATTTTTTTGAGGTGGGAAAATTATCCAATGACTTCTCTCGCTCTTACTGACTAAAAACCACCCACGGGGTGGTTTTACTTACTCCTGCACTTCGAGCCGGAGCCCCGGCTACCCGTTAAGTCTTCCGCGGCTCCGTATCGGCATCAACCCTGTTGGGCCTCATCTGTGGCGGTCTGTTGACTCAAGGAGTCATCGCGCGGCGGCGAGTCACCCGCATTTGTCGTCCGCAGGTCCGTGCTTACGGTGGCCGGAGATCGTCTCGCGATCCCCGACGCCCGGAGCATCTCTCGCGACGGCTGGGGCGTGAGGAGGTTCGTTCCCTCACGTGCCCCGCCTCCTAATTAGCTAACATATAGATATGTCCATGGATTTCTCCTTACCTAGGCAATCTATGGACGAAAGCCTGACGTACGTACGATGAAATCCATCCAGATGGAGCATTCACCATAGAACTTGCCGAGGATAAATTCAATTGAAGCATGCTGGGTGTATGCGTATATCCAACTTACTTCATTCACATAAAAGAAGTTTGGGAGATGACGAAGATCATTTCGCAATACGAGGCCGTATTCAATACTACATGAGAACATTGCAGCTGATCCAAGACTTCGTAGAAGACTAGGTATTCTCGATTTAAGGGACCATAGGGCATTGATATACCTATAGTTTTTGCTTTTGCACGGTATTAGAACATACTCTCACCAGTATAAGGTCCACATTTGACTCACTTGATGGAATCATAACATTAAAAGATTAAGTTTCAAAAAGACTGTCCGAGACAGTTATTGTCATGAATGCTTTGATTTTATCTTAAATCTATAAATAAATTAAATAATTATAATTATATGTTCTTCTAAAAACTCTCATATTTCTGACACCCATATATATTTTTTTCATCAATATTGATTAGTGTTGCTTTGCTAATGATAAAATTGAAAGGCAATTCTTGACTATATTATTCGATTGAAAAAAAAGTAAAATGTTATCTAGTATAGACCACCAATAACTTAAATATAACAATACCTATAAACGGTCAATATTCACGATCTTTTGAAAATGAAAGTAGGATTTAGATACAGCAGCTAATTGGAGTTTTTCAAGGATAAAAATAATAATCTGACCTGTAATCAATTGTTGGCGATAATTTAAGTAAATTGACGCACAGTATCTAATCGCATAGGCGTAAATATATAAATAATGTTGAATGTATTCTAATTAGATTAGTTTCAATCAGTGATCTGGATTGAACGGAGACGATCTTGAAGTGTTATAAAAGTGTGAAAATATTTCATTTTAAGTAAATGTAAGTGAATTATTCTCATAACCACGTTCCTAAGAACACAATTTCTCGTTTTATTTATTTATTTATTTATTTATTTATATATTTATCATTTCATGTACCTTCACCACACAGACAATATTACAAAGGACAACACATTACAAGCATGAGGTACATAGGTACTGCATATCCCTTAAGGGATTTCTTCCTGCAGACCTGCCTTTATTTTAATTTCATTTGTGCATGATTTTTCAACATCATCAATTATTACTTTTACTTTGTCTTTGCATAACGTATCCAGACGCTCGGGAGCATGTCCGTCCAAAACAAACGAACGTAGCGCACACCGTGTGTATCCCTACACCTTCGATCAACAATAGCCCCTACACGAACAATTTTAGTTCTGTCCTTGTTAGGGTTTCTGAACTATCCACATTGCATCATTTGACGAATGCATACATCCTTCACAAACAGTAGGCGGCCTACAAATGACAAATGCTTGCATCTTGCTAAGACACAATAAAAATTGTCTACGAAGCGACAATCTTAAGTCAGTCTAACGTTTTTGACGAATGCATGCATTCTTAAGCCTTTAACTGCCAACAAAAACTATTAAAGGCTAATCCTCCGCTAGCTTCGGACATCATTGTTCGACATGGCATCCAATGTGAATAGTTTTTGTTTCCATCACACGACAATGAACTCATCGTTGAGTCAGGCCAGTATGTAATTGTAAAACTGGATAATTGCAGATGAGAACCTTCATCATCATCACAGTGCTGTCGGCACTCGCAGCCTGCTGTAGTGCTTCTATACTACCGAGCGAGGAGGAGATGATCACCGTTGTATACGATGACGAGTCACCCAATGGAAGGATTTTATCTAATGCAGAACTTCATAACAGTATAATACCTAACAATTTTGTCCTATTAGCCGAGTAAGTATCCACTAAGCTAGTTCATGGTTTCTTGTATTATAACTTTTGTGAGACATACTAAATATCAGACGGATCACCTGATGGTAAGCTATCGGCGTCGCCCATGGATACCTGGAACACCAGAGGCGTTACAAGTGCATCACTGGCTTTTTGGGGATTAGGAGTTTGAGGATCGCTGGGGATTCAGGAATGGGGGGGATTGAGGAAGGGGAAGGTAATTGGGCCTCCGGTAACCTCACACACGACGAAACACAACGCAAGCGTTGCTTCACGTCGGTTTTCTGTGAGACCGTGGTATCACCCCGGTCGAGCCGGCCCATTCGTGCTCGTAATTCTTTGACGAGGAACTCGACTAGTTTCAAGCCATACAAGCCCTATTCAGTAGCTTTGTCAAAATTAAAAGCTTTGCCAAATTTGATGTGCGTAATATTTTTAAACATGGAAATACTAAAGATAATCGTAAAAAATTGTTTTGATATCATGATAAAATCTCTTTTGGTTTTATCATGATTTGATGAAGATTATTTAAAAAATATGTATTTGGCATGTCATCATTGTCATTTGGACAATCCAAGTAGAGGAGCTGCCATGATTTTTTTAAGACCTATAATACTGATAAATTATATACTGTAATTAGGTATGAATCTATTCGCATTCAATAACATTCGCTTATTTTTGACATATCATATTTTAAATATTCGCTTTCGCGAATTCGTTTTTTTGTTACAATTCTAATACCTATGTAATTTTAGAATAAAGTCCGACAGTCAGTAAAATGAGTCTCAGTGACCGCGCGCCCGTTGCAGTCAGTATGTAAGCACATAAAGTCAAATTACTTTTGGCGACTTTCACGTACTTGTAACTCTTGGCTGCAACGGTAGTTGAGCGGCTGACGATCACTGCTCATAATTATACTTAAAAAGGATAGAACTATTACTTAAAAACTTTTCAGTGGTAAGAAAATGAGTTTTTGAAACTGGCGTGACCTCCTCTACTATTTGAATTTGATTTGTTATTGGGTCTATATTTTTAAATACCTATATTTTTTTTCTATTTATACATGCAAGTTCATTTCTTTCGTGTTCAGAACTGGTTTTTGCGAGTATCTCTCGTAACAGATGCATTTTTGACACTTACTTTAACACTAATCAGAGAAAAGTGAGCGTTTACAGTTACAGTAAAGTTATGACGTCATTTAATGACGTCATAACTTTAATTATACGTACGTCATTTAATGACGTCATAACTTTAATTATAACTGTAAACGCTCAAACAATTGACAAATTGTTAAATTTTAACAATTTGTCAATTGTTTCAACATACTTTTGACCTAACCGATACTTTAACCCTTTGAGTACCGTCATTATAGACACAATTAAAGAACAATAGGTTGCCGTCTTCGCGGTGTTTGACAGTTTAAGGGGTTTTTATCTTTGATATGCTAACCCCATCATTTTGAATAGTTCATGTCAAATATTCACGTATTAACTGAAATTTGGACGTTTGTTATTGTTAAAGTAAAGTTGGTGCAATCCAGCCTTAATAGTATGGTATTATTTATAGGTGGAGATGTGACGCACCGTCGATAAACGGCCAGGTACAGCGTGTTGGCGTAAGATATGATGGAGATCCCAACGTTCAGATAAGTCAAGTTTCTGTAACTTATTACTCACCTGCTCCACGTATAGACCGAAGTCCATTGGGAAGGAATTTCATGGAAGTCAATATAACAACACCTGTGGGCAGAGAGGTCTGGTCCACTGTAAGAGTGTACTATAGAGCATAATGGAACTAATGTATACTTGGAAACTGCGACATCAATAAAAACATATGTTTTTAAGTAAAACACTTTGTGACAAAAACTAACATTGAATTATAAATAAATTTTATTAATAAAATCCTGGTCTTTTATTAAAACGCCTTGACAGCTTATAGAGTAACACTGTTTGAAGGCACGGTTGGTGCGGTAGCCGGGCAACCGGCTATCATGCGATCTGCAGCTGTAGCCAAATGCCATTTAACGCTTGTCTACATGTAGAATAGAAAACCAAATTATATGGAATTGACGTCAATTTTGACAATTGTCAGTGTCATCCCCATACATTTAGTTTTCTACTCTCTCTGTAGACAAGCGCTAAAGTGGCGTTTGGCTAAAGGCACTGGTTCGATCCCCGCAAGGAACAACTCTTTGTGTGATCCACAGATTGTTGGAGACAATCCTAATGTGGGCAGTGTTTATAATAAAAAACAGATCAATTGGTCATTTTTTAGCTTGTATCAGCCTATTATTATATATTTTTTTATGGCATAAGCCGGTAAACGAGCATACGGATCACCTGATGGTAAGCTATCGGCGTCGCCCATGGACACCTGGAACACCAGAGGCGTTACAAGTACGTCACCGGCTTTTTGGGGATTAAGAGTTTGAGGATCGTTGGGATTCAGGAATTGGGGAGATTGGGGAAGGGGAAGGTAATTGGGCCTCCGGTAACCTCACTCACACGACGAAACACAACGCAAGCGTTGCTTCACGTCGGTTTTCTGCTCGGCCGTGGTATCACTCCGGTCGAGCCGGTCCATTCGTGCCGAAGCATGGCTCTCCCACACTTTTATTACAGTATTATTATAATAGTTAATAATTAGTACCTATTATTATTACCTATAGACTGCCTCATTGGCCTTGTGGTGACTGCCTCTTTGGCCGAGTGGTCGCAAGTGCAACTGCCAAGGGCAAGGGGTCTCGGGTTCGATTCCCCGGATAAATAAAAGAAATCTCAGTGGTAGCACGAAGTCTGGAATTGTGCCCGGTATGTGGCAATAGGCTCACCCCCTATTACATGGGACTCATAACATAAATAGTGAAAAGTGGGTGTTACATTACACAGTGGCATTAAGTGCCGCAATGTGCACCTCTGCCTACCCCTTCGGGGATAAAAAGGCGTGATGTTATGTTATGTACATTATTATTATAATATTTTTCACTGGATGATTTACTAGCTAATAAATTATTGAAAAATATTTTTATTACCTTTACCTACTACATTTGCATTCAAAAAAAGTTGTAAACTATAGCAAGAATTTGAGGCTTTAAAATGTAATAGAAATATTTGAGTGGTAAGTGGTACATTATTGCTTAAATCTAAATATAATAAGTAACATTGGATGCGTTCCAAGTAGCTGTCAGTGATCGAGTCTCAACGGAGAAGAGCTACAAGCCTTAGAATAATAAATTGGGAAAGGTATTAGAGTAAGTGAAGATAATTTAAATATAGTTACTTAGAAAATAATGTCGTGGTGGCCCGGAGGTTTAAGACGCCCACTTCTCATGCATGAGGGTGCGGGTTCGAAACCTACCATCGGCAAGTACCAATGTGACTTTTTCCGAGTTATATGTACTTTCTAAGATTATTTAGACACCACTGACAAACGGTGAAGGAAAAACATCGTGAGGAAACCTGGACTTATAATTTCTAATTACAAGTTTGAAATCGCCAACCCGCATTGAGCCAGCGTGGTGATTAATGCTCTAACCTTCTCCGTGTGAGAAGAGGCTTTGCTCAGCAGTGGGCATTTATAGGCTGTTGATGATGACTTAGAAAATCTATGGAATTCAAAGAATAAATGTTAAGCATTTATGGTTGTCTATCTGTCTGTATGTTAACGCATCACGCAAAAACTACTCGTCCGATTACGATGAAACTTAGTAGGATTATACTTTAAAACCCTGTACACAACTCTGCGTATTTTTATCCCAAAAAAGTAAATACACAAAAAACAAACTTAATTATGCGGTTCAATCTCTAGACACAGTTACTGTACCAAACGCAAATATAAGTTTGTCGATTATTAGTTTGCGCGCAGTGGACTTTACGCTGTAACAGTAAGGCCGATGGTTGAAATTAGATTGAAATGGTAAATGTGAAAATATGTGAGTTTGTGTGTATGTTTGTTACTCAGTCATATCAAAACGGCTGAATAGATCGGCATGAAATTTGAAACAGAGGCAGATTATGGTTTGGAGTAACACATAGGCTATTTACCGCCGGTTTCGCAGGCGAAGCCGCTGACAGAAGTTAGTGTTTATATAAAATTAAAGGATAAGAACTTCAAACTTCATATATTTGGGCTTACAACTTCGTATAAAGGGCTAATAACTTAAGTAGGCTTCCGAGACGAAAATGGGTGTACCCCAGGGTTTGATATTGGGTCCCTTTTTTCAGTTTATATCAGTGTTTTGCAATCGATTTTTAAGTAAAGTACTGACCAATAATTTCTTGTAGGCACCCACGCTGCTCATCAGAAAGAACATCTCTGTTATTTCATTCTCATCTCCATCATCTAGTGTAGCCTTAAAACTAATTTTAAAACAGCATCAATGTGGTTATAGTAGATGAAGGCCTTCCGCATCATAACAGTGCAGTCAGCACTCGCAGGTTGCTTTAATACTGCTGACTTCTCGAGCGAAAAGGAGATGCAAGAAGTACATTGCCGTTAAGTACGACGACTAGTCACCCAATGGAAAGATTTTGTCTGACGCAGAGCATAATTCCGGTTCTTACGATTGGATACTACTAGTGTTATCTGAGTTAGTATCCACTAGGTTTATGACTGATAACAAAGCAGACAGCTACCGTAGGCGGCATTATATCCTTCGAGTGATCCCGTAAACATGTTCAGCCTGCGACCGTTTTTTCTAGCGTTTATCTTTTAATACTAAATAATGTCAATATACTTAATGGGTTCTCGAGTAGTCAACTAGAGGTTGAAGCAGAGATGTTTGTATAATAGTAGGTCTAAATAAACAAACGTGATAAGCAACAAAGATATATATTATACCAGATATAATTATACACATGACATCACGCCTTTTATCTCCGAAGGGGTAGGCAAAGGTGCACATTTCGGCACTTAATGCCACTGTACGACATAACATCCACTTTTCAATATTTATGTAATGAGTCACATGTATGGGTGAGCCTATTGCCATATACCGGGCACAATTTCAGGCTCCGTGCTACTACTGGGATTTTTTTTAAAAGCCCAGTAATATTTCGCCCAACCCGGGAATCGAGTTCGAGACCCCTTGCCCGGCAGGCGCACTTACGACCACTCGGCCAACGAGGCAGTGGATATAATAATGTACACACAATAATGACACATACCTCATAAATACATGTCTGTCAAATCGTAAAGTATAAATTCCTGTGCAAAAATTCTCGGACTTTAAATATTTTTAAATTGTTGCCTAGTAGGTTATCGCTGTAACTGAAATGTATAAATAACGTTGGATGCAATGCAAGTATTATTTATCAGTGATCAAGTTTGACGGGCGTTCGGCAGCGGGCTTCAATTCTTAGAAAAGTTAAGGAATCTATCAGTGTAAGTGAACATAATCCCATTAATATTATAAATGCGAAAGATTGTATGACTGTTTGTTGTCACTTCTTCACGTCCCAACGACTGAACGAATCGAGGTGAGGAAACAGGCCTATAATTTATCCCTAGGAATAGCATATAGGCTTTTTATCCCAAAGGAATAATACCGCGGGCTAAGCCGTTGGTAGAAGCTCGTTATTAATAAAAATCATTTCTCATCTTTTAATCTAATTTTTGCATCATCTCTACTATCATAAACCATCTTCTACTACTTCGTCCTTGCAGAATCTATAATCATTAAATCTATCGATGCATGAATTTTAAAACTAGTTTCTGATTACAAGTTTTCTTTCATATTTATTATTTTGTCTGGTAGTACTTTCTCGTAAATAGATTCTATATCTAGATCTATAAATAGCTTCACTTTTTTTTGTTGACGTTCAAAAGTGCCATTCTGGACTAAATTGAAATAAATGATTTTGATTTTGACTTTGACTCGTCATTTATTGAAAAAAAAAATCATTTTTATTAAACCATAATGATTCGTCGTTAAAACTTATGTTTAATTGGTAATACGAACATAATAATAATAATAATCTTTATTGTCGGAGGTTATACAGTTCTTTGGGTGACTTATATCTAGACACAGGCTTAAAATGTAATGTGCTATAGGTACTGATGCTGTCTCCCAAACTAAGCGAAAGCTTGTATTTTGGGTGGCAGTGTTCAGTCATTTAATGAGGTTCAACGATTACTGCTGAAGATTCAAGAGAAAAAAATAAATAAAAAATAATTAAAAAGATAATAATTTATTCTAGCCAGTATGTGAGAGTAACACGTGGTTGTTGTAGATGAGAAGTTTCATCATCATCACAGTGCTGTCAGCATTCGCAGCCTGCTATGGTGTCTCTGACCTCATGAACGAGGAGGTTCAAGAACGCTACACCATGTTGTACGACGAAAAAACACCCAATGGAAGAATAGTGTCTGACACAGAACTAAATAAAATAACTGAGGAAATCTCAATATTAGCTCAGTAAGTATCTACAAGTACTAAGCTAGTTAATGCTAATGACTACTTTTTTATAGGATAAGCTGGTAAACAAGAAGACGAAACACCGGATGGAAAGCAATCGGCGCCGTCCATGGACACCTGAAACACCAGAGGCGTTACAGGCCTCTTGGGGATTAGGAATTTGAGGATTGTTGGGAATGATTAACAGAATGTTGTGTTACGTTATTTTAGAGTTAGACAAAATATTTTGTAGGTTTATCAGTATGGTTAGCGCAGTAGCTGGGCGAATGGTTGCTGTGTAAGATGTCGTACAAAACACTCCTTTGTGTAACCCACAAATTGTTGTTAAGGGTCAATTGTATGTGTGTGAAATTATGTTTTATTAATCCCACAAGAGGGACCAATATTAAGTGACTCCTAATAGCCTGCTAGACTTAAGTTACGTGTACTCACTATTGTATGAGCACGAGCCCGAAAATTGGAATGGGAACAACTCCGCTTTACGGTTATACAATCAGAGAGAGTTGGACCATATCTTGCAGTATTTAACTTAGATTGCATACTATAGTTGGGCCATTACAAATAAATGAACTGTCACGTCAAAGAAATGTGATAATGTCGCTGAACTCTCACGTCAAAGAAATGTGATAATGTCGCTGAACTCGCTTTGTAAATTGACAAAGACGACACGATATTTAAGTACAACTGAAAATTGAGCAGCTTTTTAGTCTAACACTGACAGGACTGCATCGTTGGCCGAATGATCGCAGTTGCGACTGCTAGGCAAAGGGTCTCGGGTTTGATTCCCGGGTTGGGCAAAATATTACTGGGTTTTTAAAAAAAACTCAGTATTAGGCTTACCCGCTCACCCCCTATTACATGGGACTCGTAACATAAATAGTGAAAAGTGGGTGTTACATTCTACAGTTGCATTCAGTGCCGCAATGTGCGCCTCTGCCTACCCCTTCGGGGATAAAAGGCGTTATATTATGTCATGATAGGTCATTTCTTATTGAAGATAAATTTATTATACTCTTAGGAATTAATATTGTAATATCATTTACAGATGGTATTGTCAAGCACCCGCTCTTCCCGACAAGCAGCAGCGTGTAGGTGTTATGTATGAGGGACCTCCCGGTACTACAATGGTCGTATACCTTGTATTCTATCACCCACCTGAACCAAAAATAGAACATTCCAAATGGGGATCCAATTTTCTTTCAATAAATATAACATCACCTATCGGTATCAGTGTCGACGCCGTGGTAGCATTGTACGGAAAAATTCCTAAATAAAGCCAATATTAGGGCTTGAAAACCGTGACATCTGACACTAAAATCTTTGGATACAGTGATCTTTGTATTAACACATAATATATTAATGTTGCATTCCGAAATCAAAGTTTAAGTATCATGAAATTGTATCAATAAAAATATGGTCTTTTATTTCAAATCCTCGACCTTATACCTCGACCTTATATGTATATTATGAACTCGTTTCTCTGACACTTATAATGTCTTTAGCAAACTTTTTTTGCTAGTTCATAGCTCAATAAGAATTACAAAATACGGTGCCTCTTTTCTATATGGGTCAACTTTAACTCGTCGAGTACCGGTTTTATAGACACAATTAAAGAACAATAGGTCGCGGTCACCGGTGACCGCTTGGTGTTTGACAGTTTAAGTTTCTTTTTAATTAAGTTACGGTAAACAACGAATGGAGTTTCTTGCTCGTTCTTCTAGAGTTTCACCTAGCTTCACTGACAGACTATTTATTTTGTATTTTGTTGACGTTTCAAAAGTACCAAATTATGGTTTAATTGAAATGAATGCTTTGACTTTGACGTTGACTTTGACAAAGTCGCACAAATTTATTGCCATTTTACGCGTAAATTTGTCGCATTCGTTGTAAATGTTTCTTGAAAATATGTTGCTATTATTTCCCGTAATTTAACATGTTCTTATGACAAAAATAATTATGATGGTCTGGCCATGAAGCAAACAAGCTTTGATAATCACACTGTGAATGCAGAGACAACGGTGATATCAGTATCCAAGAACATAATTTTGGGTTATAGAACTGAGGAACTTACAAAAATTATCAAAGTATTCGCACGTTTAATACTAGACATGGAGTTCTGGAGTTCCTCAAGGTAGTATTTTAGGTCCTACTTAATTTCAAGTTCACATTAGGGATTTCTCTAACCACATAAATCATGATAGCTTTATCTCACATCAAATATTTATTTAGTTCATGTGACGCCTGTGACAAAATTATAAATAAAACACTAATGTTTTTAACAATATCATTTATTTGTTCAACAGTTTTATTAATAGCAGAGAGTACATAGAGTTTAGTTCGTATTTTCCATTTATACATGACAGACATACACGAAGGAGATATTCCTACTATATTAATAAAATTGGATTACCAAAATATACATACGTACTCTCATAGCTGTCGAATGACTGCATTGAAATGGATTGCTATTTTTGTCGATCGTTAGGGCAAAGTTTGTACAAAAGAAAGATTGATACCTTCATCGGGAACGTCGGGAAATAGGACCATGGCGAAACTAGGGCGAGCCGCTAGTTATAAATAAAAAATCCCAGTGGTAGTCACTACATACAGGGAGATTTCACACACAGTGAGAACATATAGTAGCACAATACAACCAGCTGGGAATTTAATATACAAATTCATTACAAAAGTTGCTAATGAGAAAAAAATTTGATCAGCCAAATTTTTTCTTAGCGTGTTCGAGTATGAATGAATAGTCGTTCTTCTTTTGTTTACTCCTTTAGTTTGTTTTCAAATTTCCGTGTTGTTTATAATCTACATAGTTGTGAAATTTGTGACATAAAAATTCAATTGTAATTTGTGTATCAATTATAGTTTTGATGGATTTTTTTCTACAAACATGTGTGATCAATTTGAAAAATATAACTTAGCTTAATATTTGTAGGTCTGTCCCAATTATACTTAGCTTTTATAAACCTAACTTAACCACTTCATTCGCTCTCGATTGCGAAAACAAATCAAATTACGTCAAAAAGGCACAATTTTTGGTACAATTTGATTTCTATCAAATACAACCTATACTAAAAATACATGCTATATAATTATGTAAAATTAGAAATACCGATATATATTAGAACGAAGAACATTAGATGAAAAGCGGGTTCGCCAAATACTTTCCCTGCCCCGCTCCGTTGTTGGTACAATCTGACAGTTGCCTGAATAGGCTGGCTGACATTTGATATTAACCTTACTTCCATGTTATTAGTTCCCAGTGCACTGTGGAATACATTTGCAGGGTGTATTTGTGGAGTAATAGTAATTCTGTTTATCACAGTGTTCGTTGGGCCTTGGTACGTCACGAAGGAATTTTTTACCCTGCCGACCGCTGCTGGCGCGCTGCATGACACCCTGAAAATAAGCATAACATAATTTTATCCCCGAAGGGGTAGGCAGAGGTGCTCTTTACGGCACTTAATGCCACTGTACAATACAATGTAATATCCACTTTTCACTATTTATGTTATGAGTCCCATGTAATAGGGAGTGAGCCTATTGTCATATACCGAGCGCAATTTCAGACTCCATGCTACTACTGAGTTTTTTTTTAAAACCCAGTAATACTTTGCCCGACCTTCTTGCCCGGTCGCACTTGCGACCACTCGGCCAAGTAGGCAGCCCAAAAACAAGACGGGGATCGAATTTTAATAATACTAAACGCCTGTTGCACCACATTCATATAAGTACCCTAAGTGGTTATCCTAATTTATAATACAGGCCTTATGTGTGATGGTTTATAAAGTGTCCAAGATTTATTTAGTGTATAAAACGTTTGCTTCAAACTGAGCGTCAAAACAAGCCCAAGAGAAGAAAGAATAACTTCCTTAAGATTTAACTCAACCATTACAAATTGCTCTTCTAATATAAGGGCAGTTTGGATAGCGGTTCATTCCCCACCCGAAGTGAAACTTGTAGCAATAATACTCACTCATATAACAATCTCCATCCATCATTTTTTGTTTCAACCTCAGCACTGGTCATAATTGTTCCATTGACAGCTGTATCATCATAAACTAAAGTGAAATCATCTGTCATTTGTCTGCTTGAAACAAAAGCATCATGTCTGCCAGACATCACCCGGCTTGGAAGAACAAAGGCTTCATAGGAGGCTACTAGTGCTGACAGTACCGCGATGATGATGAAACTCTTCATCTGTAAATACCATGGGATTTAGACATACACTGTTTGTGTCTAAATTTTGGTACTAAGACTTGATGATAAGATAGATTTTCCTGTATAGAATTTTATCATCGTGTGATAAACATTCATATTTCGAGATGGCTTACAGGTACAGTGATATTTTGTATCTACTTAACACAAAATTGTAATGAAATACTCAAGATAATAAAGAACAGAAAAATAAAACGTTCACAAGAATATTAGTAACTAAAAATATGAGCACGTTTTCTGAGATATAACACTGCACCATTTGTTTGACTATATCATAAAAAATATCATAAAAACTAATAAAGGGATTATTATCATATTGATGTAACTAATATACACTCAACAAATATGAAAAAAAAATTATGTAAAAAAACTTTAACTCACACTGATATTTTTAATTTATCCCAAATATAAAACTCGTGCACTCACGAATATCACCGAAAAGTACTACGCATATGAGATGTGACCAAACTTACATCATTGCCAAAATGATAAGATACAGTAAGATACAATTGACATGTTTATCTACATCATAGCAGATAGAAATCAATACTTTTACTCTCCAGCTCAAAAATTCGATACAGGAAAACGATAAATTATTTTTATCATCACTCTCTTTTGTCAGTGAATATCATTGAGGTTTGAAATCGGGTAAGTATTCTGTACCAATTTTATATTTATGTATCACAGTAATCACTTTCCTCTTAGATGCCTGCAGTGGCGTAACTACAGTGTACAACTACGGGTGGGAAGTTCACAAATTGCCACGAGTCCCAAGCTGGAAGAAGTCCTGGTTGAAACTGTAATTTATATTTGGTAGGGCCCGCTTCGATTGTCAACGGGCCTCCATCGGTAATGTTATACCATTGGACACCTATAACACCAAAGGAGTTACAAGCTGGGCTTTTGGGAGGAGAGAATTGAGCCACCGTTAACCTCACTTAGAATGCAAGTGTTGTTACACGCCGATTTTATGTATGGCAATGGTATCACTACGATTGATTGAGGCGAAAACTTATGACAATCAGATTCAACGCGAGTCAAATAAGCACTTTCTATTAAACATAAAGTGAAATATAAAAGATAAAGGGCTCATAATATTATATTTACTTTACCATTCACAGGACCACAGGGTCCCGGTCATTTGGGATGCGTACGAGGGACCGAAGCTAACTGCGCAGAGGCCCTCTAGACAACTTAAATCTAACTGTTATGGAAACACAAACCGGCGACTATCTCTGTATGCACTATGGAAATGCACCCAAGGACAGTCCCCGGTTAGTGTTTAACTATTGTGGATAATGAAAAAAAATATTTACTTATTATTATATCATCATAATCTTATCAATATTACGATCTATTACACGCGAATTATCACACATATCTCACTACAGAAGCCAGATCTAGATCAATGGCATAAACAGAGTGTCAAAGCCATGCACTGATTTATTCGATAGTTCAGTGGGCATTAAAATGCTGTGGACGACTTTTCGGGTTACCGGGGCCCCGGTTCAAAGCAGGAATAGGAACGGGATGGTTTTTAGTTACCGAAAGTTATAAATATAGTATGTCTCACACAAGGCAGGAGAATAAAATTAATGAATTCCTCCCCCTACCCCTATAAAAAAGGCAAGAAAAGTAATTCGATGATTTTCCACCCTTAAAAAAGCCCTCATAAAAAGAACTTCTTTTGCAGCCAAGTATACAAAAAAGTATTTTTGTACTTAGTAAAGTAACAACCCACTAACGCCACATAGGAAACTTAAAATACCAACTGTCAGAATTGCACTAAAACATAGAAACAGCCAATAAGACTATCAAAATAAAAGTCATCATTACTATTTGCTTTATATCTATTAATGAATAACTGTTTACAAAAAAGTTTATCAGTGATAAAAGAGACCTTTTGGATTTCCGATAGCAGTGAAGATTCATAAGGAAATAACAATGTAATTGATAAAAATTATTCAAGTATTTTATCAAATACTTTTATAAGACATATACCTCTAGATAATATTATTAGTCACTTATTATCAATGACTCAGAGGCCTAAGTTGGAGATTATGGCAGATCCTATTTCGTAAAGAAGCATCGAAATCCACAAGTGGACTATAACTGACAAGCAAAGGTCTTTTTTGATTTTCAAATTAAGTACTGTAATTCCAAGTACATTTCTGCACTACCCAAAGGATGACTGGCAGAGAATGCTGTTAGCGTTAAGTCCTCCTTACGCAAATGTGTAAAACTTAAATAAATACATTAATCAAGAAATTGACATTATTATGCATATGTGGTATTGCAAGGAACTGACTCCGGAATTATGTGTATCTGGTGTATGACAATAGGTTCATCCGTATTGTATGAGATATAAATTCAAGGCAAATTGGTGAAAGGCATATCACAATGTGCACTTCAACAGGGTTCATAATCCAAAGAGACAAATATAAAATAAAGAATCGTAAGGCAGCGCCATCTAGTTTAATTTAGAATAACTCAACTCTGACACACTAACGCCACCTAGGGAACTTCAAACGACAATGAAAACTCACTTGTCATCTTCAAAATCCGTTTATGAACATTGTTTTCCGTAAATACATATGATAGTATTATCACATTAGAGATAAGATAATATTATATGTTAAAATAACATATTAATATATTTTTAATGTTGTATTTTCTGATATTGATTAAGATTCAATAAGGAAATGTAATCTATTTGTTGATTAAAACAATATTTATCAAATCTTTTTATCATTCGGTTATTTTATCATAATTTTATGCATTAAGCGTTATTAGTTATTCACTGAAGCCGTGAAGCGCCTTGGTGCCTTTTAAATTAATATGAACTGACTTATTGATAACCTTACTAACCTAATAACCGCGTTCAATGCAGTTAGGTAGAGATGACCAATAGATTATGAGTTCGAAAGAATAATATGAGAAAAACATTGTGCTACTCACACATCGAACTAAACATAACCAGTTTAATTAAGATCTCGCTTCGTACGATCTTTCTGCACATTAGCCGATCAGCTTATACTGGTTATATATATCTTGAGGAGTAGCCAAGTACAAGGTATTAGCGTAAAAAGATGATGAAAAAAACAGGTAACAATTACATCAGTTTGTTGCATAATGCCCTAAAATACTCAAATTCGATGAATTTCCAGTAATTCAGCAACCTTATCAAAGGAATGTTAAACGTATTTAATGGATAATCATTTATCAACCAAATCAGTTCATTTTTGAGTGGCACTGTTGGAAGTCGTGATTACTAGAGGTAATTATAATTACTGTGCATTGATGTTAATTCATTTTTTAAATGTATGTAATGTATAGAACGATACCTATTTTGGATACTGCAGTGATGTGTGTCAGAAACCTATTTCTTTTACCGACTTCAAAAATAAAAGAAGGTTCTCAGCTTGGCCTGTATGTTTGTTTGCGCTTATCTCGCGATTGGCTGAATCGATTTAGATGCGGTTATCTGAAAATTGTTTATTACACTTAGGAGAAGGGTTCAGTATATTTTAATTAACCGACTTCAAACAAGATTGGGTTGAAGTCGGGTTTTGTAAACGTACTTCATAAAAGAATTTCATCAATTTTAGACAGATATTGTAATTCTAAAGATAATAAACAATTTCAATTTGAATTTGAATTATTTTCATGTGGTTAGGGAGTAAAAGTATAGTCGTATCACCTGATGGTAAGCGATCAGCTACAGATCAGATACAGCGCTCATGGACACGGCATTCCTATCAGAGTACTCCCAATTAAGTGCATTAACAAAATTAATAGCAATCTCAATTTCAGACGGTTTACTTCAAGTGAAAAAATGAAGTGTAAAGTCAGATATGTCATATAAAAATCATTTAAAACATAGTTCATAAGCTCGTCACGTTTACTCACATAATAAGACGTTGTTACAGATGAGGAGCTTCATCATCATCGCGGTGCTATCAGCACTAGCAGCCTGCTATGGTACTCCTGTCCTCCCGAGCGCAGAAGAAACCTACCCAGAGTACAAAATGATACACAAGTACAATAAGGAAGATGATGCTCAGAACCGGATCACAATGCTTAGAGAAGAAATGAGACATGATAACGATCGCCAGAATGGAGAAGTGTTATTAGACGTGTGAGTTTATGTTCTTAATAGTTGAATATTTAGTAACGCAGGTTTTAATCGGGTATATAGAATAGAGTCAGGCATTACTTTGCGGAAATCAATGCTACACTAAAAACTAAGGAAATATTCAATTTTTTTTACTGAAGGAATGAATTAGAGTATGCAGTATGCACCACCGTCCCGTAGATAAACTCTCATATAGCAGAGATGCGACAAAAACACACATACGACACGCAACAAACTCGACATATATTCAAGCCGCAGGAGCCGCTAAGTCAACAACTCCTGAAGATGCTCCGTGGACGAGCGAAACATATTCAAGTAGCGCAATAAATTGTCCTTACAGTAATTATGTCTTAATAATAGGGATGATGACAGTGTATGAAAATTAAAAATGTAATGAAAAAATATTAGACGCGTATTTTTTTATTTTGTTGTATAATAAAATGATACTTAAATAAAACGAATCAAAGTTTAGGAGTGGGGGCTAAAACGTCATTTCTACGCATAAAATGTACATAGAAGTGACGTCACGCGACATTTCGAATCAATATATCTTCGAAACTATTGGTTTCCGTAAAAAAATAAAAAATACGTGTCTAATGTTTTTAAATAATCTACTAAACGGACATTAAAATAAAAAATAGTCATCTACCATATTGGCATTAACTAATCCGAGAGCTTTAAATTTGTCTTTCATTTATAAATGTAGGTATTGTATTTTTATTTCCAGACAGCGGTTCCTAAGGACTGCGATTCCTATGTGATACAGTATGTGGATATCTTATACTATGGAATCCCACCCACGGTGATAACAACAGTCGAGATAACATCATCGCCACCCCCGTCTTTTGTGTTACCAATTTGGCACCTGGATAATTATATTTCTATTAGAATATCATCACAAAGAGGTCTTGGATTGAATGGGACAGTTCAAATCTTTGGGACATTGTAAGATCAGGCCAAAAAACAGAAAATAGTTTTTAATTGTTATACTTTTAGGTCTTAATTGGTTTAAGCTGAACAGGTGAGTGGATCATATATGTAATATTATACTTATAATCCTTATATTTAGGTAAGTTTTTGTTTGTGTCTAGTATATCTATTACAAATATCTCGTCGCAGACAGTTCTAGAGGTATTAATATATTCGACATGTACCTGAATAAATGAATAAAAATTATTTTGCATAAGTTCACGTCTTTAACTGCCTGATTTAAGATTGTAACACCCACTTATGACTATTTATGTTATGAGTCCCATGTAATAAGGAGTGAGCCTATTGCCATATACCGGGCACAATTCCAGACTCCGTGCTACTACTGAGATTTTTTTAAAAACCCAGTAATACTTTAACTGATCCGATTGATAAAACCTCTACTAGTTTCGAACCACAGAGGGGTTCTTCCCCATGAGCAGCGTGTGCGGTCGCGGCAATGTCGCGTTGGCGCTTGCTTGGTTTGAAACTAGTAGAGCTTTTCTCAGTATATTCACGCGAGTAACCCGCGATTTTAAGTTAATTTAAGATAGTAGTGATTACAGAAGTTAATATGAATTTATAAATACAATTTTTCTTAAAAAACATGCATTCCATAATTATTTTAATGGTTAAAGTCCAATTGTTACGGTTCAAGCGGAATGATATACCACGGCCCGGCTCGAAGCAGGCGTAGGAACGGATTGGTTTTTAGTCAAGAAGAGTCTGACACTCCGTCCCGCCTCATCCAGGATCAGGAGCCAACGTAATTGAAGACACAATTTTAATCAAGAATAAAAATTCACCAGGCACCAAATGAGGAGATTATCAAAGTTGATATCTATTTACTAAAAGATAGAGATATCTTTGCCCAACGGATGTCACGCATGCAGATTAGATTTTATTAATATAAAATATGAGCCATGATTACCAACTATAAATTACTTTATCCAATTGAATTTAAAAAAAAATTGGTTCTCAGTTTAACCCGAATGTATGTATGCTTGTCAAAGTCAAAGTCAAAATCATTTATTTCAATTAGACCAGGAAGGCACTTTTGAACGTCAACAATAGAAATTTGGAAGTGAAGCTAGTTGCTTATACCAAGTTGTAGATTCCTATGGAGAAGAACGAGCAAGAAACTTCATAGGTTACTCTTTTCCAATCAGGTTCACAATACAATTCTCCAGTTACACAGTTTCATTGGTTCGATTGTGCGAGAACAATGTAACACCAAACCTTGTGCGTGACAATCTCGCTTGGCTGAACCGATTTTGGCATATCATTTGGCATTTAAGTGTGGGAGAGCCATGCTTCGGCACGAATGGGCCGGCTCGACCGGAGTGATACCACGGCCGAGCAGAAAACCGACGTGAAGCAACGCTTGTGTTGTGTTTCGTCGTGTGAGTGAGGTTACCGGAGAACAAAAGAGAAAAAGAAGGGGAGGGTCCCCTTCCCCAATCTCCCCAATTCCTGAATCCCCAACGATCCTCAAACTTCTAATCCCCAAAAGGCCGGTAACGCACTTCTAACGCCTCTGGTGTTCCAGGTGTTCATGGGCGACGCCGATTGCTTACCATCAGGTGATCCGTCTGCTCGTTTACCGGCTTATGCTATAAAAAAAAATAATATTAATAACCGACTTCAAAAAAGAGGGGTTTGAAGTCGGTTTTTCTAATGTAGTTTATGAATGAATTATTCTTAAGTTGTATTGTGCGCGGCTGTGTTAAAACTGCTGTGAATTCAGGCGAATATTTTAATGTAAGCATATATTGTGCTTTTAATTTTTAAAAAAATATCAACGACGACGCCATCGCTCTTCGAGAAAACAAATAAATACTTTATTATTATTTATTTTATTTTTTAGCTTTGGTCGTCTCACTGCAGGGCAAAGGCCCACGCCTTCCTCTCGTCTCTTCTTAAAGCTTTCTGTGGCCAAATATAGAAATAAATACATAATTTCATATTTGTATGCATTGTTTTTGTCCTAGCTTCTATATACCCAGATGTTCTACTTGATTTTGTAGAAGAAAATGGCAATCAGTCTCATCTCGCATTATTTGAAGTTGACCCTATCTTGTTGTACACGAGTACGTGACAAAGAAGTTCATAAGGTTCATAGTCCCATATTTTAAATGATGAGTGCTTACAATTCGAAAAACCTAATCATATTTTATCTAACATTTAATAAATCTGAGATTTCCCCGAATATTTTTTTATAGATTTAGATAGTACGGGAATTCCCCGTGTTAGGTATCTTAATACTTATTTGATTTTTATCGGTTGTCAAGAAATACAGAAACGATTTTTAAAAAGATCATCTGCTAATTGATTTAATATTTTTAATATTTGAGTTTTTTTAAGGGGACCTCATCGAATGACTGCTCCCGCCTGAGTGAGGCGGGAGGGAGTACTGATTAAAAACCACCCCGTTCCTTCTCCTGCACGTCGAGCCGCCGGAGCCCCGGCAAACCCGTTAGATTCTCCGCGACTCCGAGGTTCTCTGCGACTCCGATAATATTTGAGTTAAGACGCACATACAGTCGAAAAGAACCTATATAGTTACAGTATAGCTACTGACGATAAGTCAACCAGATGGCAGGTCTCCTACGTACAATATTCTAATCAACACAAAGATAATAATCAGATTATCCACGATTTTTTTTATCATTTAATATCTCACTTTGGACTTTTGTACCCTTTTTTATATCAAACTGAATCAGGTCATTAAACCTAAGACTGATAAAAATACTGACCTACGCAAACAGTTGAGTCATGATTACACCTTTAATTGATAAAGATAATATCCACGTGGCATAAGGCATTAGAAACGAACACGTGCCTGCTATTAAACTGACACTGCATGCCTGCATTGTTGATACAGAATAGAATAGAATAAACTTTATTGTACACCATTAATGATAGTACATACAGAAAAGGAAATGACAAACATAAATAAAAAATAATAATGGGCACAAAGGCGGTCTTATCACTTATACTGATTTCTACAAGACAACCTTTGGGTGGATATAATGAAAAGAAATATTTAGACGGGTTGTGTAGGTACTAAGAAAATAAATGAATAATAGTAATAATACATACACATACGTACATATATACATACATACACACATTCATACATAATGACATACTTACTTACACTTAAATGTACCAAAACCGACGTGAAACAACGGTTGCGTTGTATTTCGTCGTGTCAGTGAGGTTACCGAAGGCCCAATTACTCTCCCCAGTCTCCCCAATCCCCGAATCCGCATCCCCAATTCTCAAAAAGCCGGTAACGTTTTTGTAACGCCTCTGGTGTTTCGGGTGCCCATGGATTATTCCGATAGCTTACCAACAAGTGATCCGTATGCTCGTTTACCGGCTTATCTAATAAACACACATATTTCGAAATTATACTTGAAATAACTCTCAAGACATCCTAAGGTACTAACTCACCTCACACGATCACACATTAAATGTGTAGGATTTGGTCTATTTAAACAAAATATCTATAATTTGGTACGATATTAATCACTATTTCATGACATACTTCTAAAGAAGACTGCCTCGTTGGCCGAGTGGTCGTAAGTGCGACTGCCGGACAAGGGGTCTCGGGTTCGATTCCCGGGTCGGGCAAAGTATTACTGGGTTTTTAAATATTCTCAGTAGTAGCACGGAGTCTGGAATTGTGCCCGGTATATGGCAATAGGCTCACCCCCTATTACATGGGACTCATAACATAAATAGTGAAAAGTGGGTGTTACATTGTACAGTGGTATAATGTGCACCTCTGCCTACCCCTTCGGGGATAAAAAAGGCGTGATGTTATGTATATGTATGTATGTATGTACTTCTAAAGAAAACGAACTATTTCTTCGGAGATTAAATGACCTCACAATAATTAACTTATTGCGTAGAAAATACGTAGCGTATCTACAATATCCTTTTGTTATCTATTATGACAAAGAAATGTGCGTGAAATTATCACCATATCAATGACTAATTGAATCCATTATTATCTGATAATCGTTGTGA